ATGCTTGGTTAAATACTGGAATCGGCTCATGCTTTCCATATGGAATATTAATATTCATTATTCTCAAAGTAAAAAGACAAGCTTCTCATGTTAAACTAAAAAAGCCTGTATTTAATTAATCCTCAAGTAAATGAACATGTAAAAAATAGTAACTGTTGAGTATTTTGAAAATCACTGCTTCTGCTTTAGCCTTTCTCTTAGGTCTCGAATTCGCCAAATATTTTTAAAGTCACTTTTCAGGCATTAGATCCTCTTACGTGGCTAATAAAAGAGAAGTCTAAAAACAATTTAGGCATTTTTTGAGAAATGTAGTTTATTGGCATGGTTCAGCATAGAATAATAGAAGAAAAATATTCTACTTCAAATAATGTGCTTTTAAAAAAAATGATTCTTTTGGGGCGCCTGGGTGGCTCAGTCAGTTAAGCATCCGACTCTTGGTTTTGTCTCAGGTTATGATCTCAGGGTCGTGGAATCGAGCCCCAGATCGGGCTCTGCACTGAGCTCAGAGTCCGCTTGAGATTCTCTCTGCCTCTGCCCCTCCCTCCACTCTCTTTCTCTCTAATTAATTAATTAATTAAGATATTTTAAAAATTATTCTTTTTTTTAAATTATTGAAGTATAGTCAACATACAATATAATACAATGCTATATTACTTTCAGGTGTACAGCATAGTGATCTGACAGTTCTGTAAATTCCCAGTGCTTACCCCAGACAAGTGTCATTACCATCCGCCACAATACAACGTTACTACAATATTACTGACCATATTCCCTATCTGTACTTCTCATTTCTGTGACTTACTTATTTTATAACTGGAAGTTGGTACCTCCGAATCCCCTTTACCTTATCTCATCCGTCCCCCATCTACCTCCCCTCTAGCAAATAATGTGTATTTTTTAAAAAGTGGATCATCTCGGGAGTAACTCCATTTTCCATTTTGCTTGCTGTGTATTAGTGACTTCACTCATCTAGAATCTGTCGTTCCTGCTCGGGTATGCAGAAACCAGAAACGTGCTTCCTTCTTGTTTTGATTTTGCTCTCTCTTTGCACTGCAGGTGTAACCCCCATGAGCCTTAGTGAAAAGCTGGCTGACTCTCAAACCTGCACACATTTTACCGTGTCTTATATCCCCAAAGGAAACCACACCACCAACTTAATTTGTTTCTGCTTTCACGCCACCCAGTGCTACTTACAAACATTGGCAAAGGTCTTTTCATTCCACTAAGTTTCTTGCAGCTCATCCTCACTGGGTCTTCCCATTATCCGGTGAGTATTCTTCCCTAATTGAATGACTGTCACATTCTCTGCGGTACCAAGAGAATCCCAGTTTGTTTTTGCAAACACCTCAGTAATTTTTGCTATTTTATTTCCCAGAATCCAAATCTCTTCATTCTCTGAAGATGGTTTGCCTCATAGTTAGAAGACTGAATTCATCCTGTAGGAGCTCCTTCTTGTGCCTCACTTCTTGATGACCCATCCCTCTTTCATCTTTTCTCCTTGTCCTCAGAGGCTAACATGTCTAATTACATCCGGGGATCTCATCTCCTCCTGCCTCCTCAGAGACCTTGCTCCCATACTTAGCCCTCTGCTCTCAGTGCTAACTGTCTCTTTCTGCCTAAGATTGTTCTACCCCTAAAACAACAACCAAACAGATCTCTTTATTTTTTTAAGATTTATTTATTTATTTTAGAGAGAGAGAGAGAGAGTGGGGGTAGGGGAGAGGGGCAGGGAGAGAGAAAGAATCTCAAGCAGACCCTAGTTAAGTGCAGAGCCCAACGTGGGGCTCCATCTCATGACCCTAAGATCGGGGCCTGAGCAGAAACCAGGAGTCAGAGGCTTAACTGACTGCGCCATCCAGGCGCCCCCAAAACAGATCTTTCTTCAGCTCTACCTCTGTCTCAAATTTCCTTTCTGCGAACTTTTTGAAGTTGTATTTCTGTTTTCCTTGACTTAATCCTTAACTTTTAACAGTTAAGTTTTTACCCATATCCCTCTGTCAGAGCTCAACTCTCAAAAGTCACTGGTATATAATCTGTCAGCAACCAAATCTAGCGACTTTCCTCAACCCCCCATTATTCCCTGTGGCATTGGACAGAAGTGATGCCGCCTTCCCGGAAACCGGAAGTGTTTCCTGAATTCTGAACGGAGTCTTTTGTCTCCACGCCCTGTTTCTTTAATTGAGAACTTGAACCTTTGTCTTTTCAGGCTGTGATTTCCTTTGCCCAATCTCTTCACTGTAGATTTCCCTCAGGACTTTCCCTCCATACATACTCTATATTCTACTTTTCTGGAATTTTCACGGTTTTAAACATCATCTCTGTGTGCAAAGCTCTGAAACCCATTAATTCCAAAGGACAGGCCTCTATTTGCTATTTTGGCTGGACTTACACTTGAATTCTACTAGGATATCAAACGCAACACGTCCAGAACAGAATCCACTTTTTTCTCCTTCCCTAACCTGCCTTTCCGGGTTTCCTCTTTCCCGCAAGTGACATCACCACTGATGTTCTCTTGGATCCATGATTTCCCTACCCCAGAGCCAGGGATGCTCAAGCTCTCATTGATGTGCTGCCAACACAGCCCTTGGAGATACATTATTGCCAGACTAGTTTTCTATAAGTGCAATTATAGGTTATTCCCCTGCTTAATAGCTTCCTATCACTTACAAAACAAAATCCAGATCTTAACATGGCATTCATGGTTGTTCATAGCACGGCTGCAGCCAAACTATCTGATTATAGTTCTCAAGGCTACACTTATCACTGGGCAACTATTTGTTATTATTAATATAAATATTTTATATTAGTTGCTCTTCTCTCCACTCACTTTTAGGTTCCTGTCCCTGAGGCTTCGCTCATGCTGTTCCCCATCTCCAAAACCTTCTGTGATCCAAACTCTACCCATTCTTCAAATGCTACTTCCTTCAGGCTTCCCTGGTCTTCACAACTGGAAGAAACATTTCCAACCTTTGCATTTCATTTATGTGTTACCACTAATAGAGCCATACCCATTTTCTTTTGCTTAGTGTTTACATGAAACTTCTTCCCCATCCTTCTGCTTGTAAACTGTTTGTGCCTTTATTCATAAAATGTGTTTCTTGTAACCAACATATAGTTGGGGTTTTTCATCTAGAGATTTTTTATTTTATCTAGTCTGTCAATCCAGACCTTTCAATTATGTTCTTTAGTCCATTTATATTTGCTGTAATTATTGATCTGTTTGAGTGTAAGTCTATCACCTTGGTGTTTTAATTCTATTCCTCTTGCCCTTTTTTGTTTGTTTGTTGTTTTGTTGGTTCCTTCTTTCCTATCTTTCTTCGGCAAGTGGTTAATTTACCTTTTTTTTTTTTCATTCTACGTCCCATGTTGAATTTTTAGTTCTGCCTCTTTGCATGTATTTGTGGTTTGTGATTACTGTAGACATTAAAATTTGCACCTTTAATATATCACATTCTCTGTTTAAAAAAATCAGTTTAAGAAAAATCTAAGAATTCTATGACAATTTATTTCCAATGTTTAGTCCTTGCTTTAGGTAAGTTTAGTCCTGGGGTTTAAACTCCCCAATGGTAAGCTACCCCTGCCTTGTACTTCATATAAAGCCTGGGAGCTACAAGGCTTTTCCCTGTTCTCCTGCCGCACCCTTAGGCTGCTGTGGACCCTTCCTGCATGCAACACGGAGGGAGTCCCTCCTACTGCCCCCTCCCTCCTTAGTTCCTACCCCTCCATCAGCAGTCGATTGTTCTTATCTCGAACCCAGAGCAAGGCCTAGTTCTCCAGCCTCAGATTTAGGCAGGACCTGCATTCCTGAATTGGTGAGAGTTTCTCTCCGCATTGTTAGACTGCCCCACCCCTTACTGTTACTGGGTGTAAGACGGGGTGTGGGAGGGCTTATATAGATAGTTACTGCATGCATGCCTGCATTTCAGTAGGGTTCACACTCAGCTGTCCTGCCTTCTCTCTGTGGGAGACACCTGCTGTCTCATATTCACATAAGGTTGCAGCCTGGGAGATTCTCTTGGTTGTGCTGATCCACTCTCAAACTCAGGCAGTCCTTCTAGTTCATTAATTTACCTTGCAACTTTGATTCTCCAATAGACTAAAAACTTACGGTTCCGTAAGCTCTCTGATTTGTTCTTATTGCTTAGGTGGGAGCAAAGTTTCGTGTCACTTTCTATACCCTGGAGAGAAGCAGAAACTCCCTATTCCATTTTAACCTTCAGTCTTCCTTAGATTTAGTTCTCCCAGAAACAAGTGCTAAGAAAAGAATTTGAGTTCAAGTAGTTTATTGGGGTGGTGATCCCAGGACCCCCAGTAAAGTTGTGGGAGGAGCGACAGGGAAGAGAAGGAAGTCTATAGAGTGTGTGAATGAGCAGCTGAGGTGAAATCCCACCGGGGGCTCTTGGAACACTGCATGGAAAAAGCCTTGGTGAAGTGGCCATTATCGACCAACTCCCACTTGTGGTTGATTAGCCGCCCTGCCTGTGGGGGGAGCCTGCTCCAGGTCAGAAAAGGCTTAGAATCACAGGAAGTTGTTAAGGTGAGGGAATGTGGGACGCTCGCTACACAGTGTCCCTTCTAGACTCTCCAGTGACACTTAATGACTTGACTTCTCAGGAATATTGGCTTACTAGAGCCTGATGTTACTGAAAAGATGATTCATACCTGATTTATTTCCGTAGTCTCCCAGCGTGGAGAATGGCCAGAAGATAGGTAATCAAAAATCATTAAATGAGAAAACACATTTTATAAAGTACCAATTTGTAGAATTCTGGTCAGCTCTTCTTTATCTCCTATCGTCCTCCCAAACCCACACCCGCACCCCCACCCCAATCACTCAGATGACATGGTTTGTTCTCTTAGTTGTCAAAAAAATTTCCGTTTACCTGACTGGCTGGAATTTTTAAAAAATGTGATTGTCCAGTTAATGTGAATGTATTATAATTTAAAGTGTAATTTCTACGCCTGCACTTTATCTAACAGATATTTTATATTACTTGTAGCCAACAATGATAAGGCGTCCACCAACAGTTATCTGCTACATTTGTGGTCGTGAATATGGAACAAAATCTATTGCCATCCATGAACCACAATGTCTGAAAAAGTGGCATAATGAAAACAACTTGTTACCTAAAGAGTTAAGGAGATCAGAACCTAAAAAACCAGAAGTCAGGACCATTACAGGTAAGTTCTGGGAAACAAAAACAAAAACAAAAAAACACTTGAGTCTGTAAAGGGAGACTTTTCTCTCTGAACTTATTAAGAGGAGAGGTATTCCTTCTTATTTATTCAAATAACTGCAATCAGCAACATTTACTGTCTTGACTATAACCAAATAGGAAAAACAGTTCTAGAAGGCCTGACCAAAGGGCCTCAGATGCTAAGACGCAAAGACACTATTGTCAAAACTGTGCAAGGAGAGAGACCCACTGGCATTCCCTGTATTTCCCAAAAGTTACTTTCGTATATTATCAAACTTATACTTAAAAAACATGAAGCTTAAAAAATCTTGGCGGGCACCTGGAGACATGTTTTCAAATATGAATGTTTCTTAGTGTTCACAGAGCAGGCTACCGGCCTCACAGTTTTCAGGGTCCACCAGCCAGGGTGCCAAACTGAATAAATTAGTCCACGTATGACAAAAGGGAGGGTGGGGGCCACAGGAGTGGGAGAATACCGACTCTTTCTAAAGGAGGCCACGGCTACCTGCTTCCTGCTGTTACCATTAAGAAATGTAGCCCAGTGTGGGCATGTTTTTCGAAAACACAGAAGAAACTGTAAATCCAGAAATCGATAGGCAATGCCCAGATCTTTCAAATTTTGCAATTAATGCTTTGTAAAGCACCGCACAAGCCAAATGAAACCCCATTGACTGCCGTGTGTGGCCTACTAACGGAGCGTTTGTTTGCTCATTTGGGGCGAGAACAAAGTAGTTCAGAGAATGTTTGCCAGGCCAACTCAGACTTGTGAATCTTATTTCTACCATCATCACTTTCTCAGTGGATCGCCTCAAAGGAAAATCATTCTTGGTTTTAAGAAAAGTATCATTCAATTCAGTAATCCTCCTTCTGTAACTGTAGATTTGCATAACTGGAGGGTACCTCTAAGTCATTTAGTATTGATCAGTCCAGAGCACTCTTGTCAGAAATGTGACCCGGGAGAGTTCTCTAACAACCCACAGAGTGGAATCTAGGTTGTCATGATGAAGTTCTAGAGGCTGCTAGAACCCAACTATTCACAGTCCTTGCCAAGAGTAGGAGGACTCATCGTTCAGGTGGGAAAAGGGCTCAAGATGAACACATGCATCCATTGAAATTAGAGCATTTGCCCACAAAGACCTTGTTTGCCTCACTGAAACTCTCTCCTAGCAATTCTCTGTGGTGTCAAAAATCTGTTTTCTTGGGCACCTGGGTGGCTTAGATGGTTAAGCATCTGCCTTCGGCTCAGGTCATGATCCCAGGGTCCTGGGATCGAGGTCCTTATCAGGCTCTCTGCTCAGCGGGGAGCCTGCTTCTCTCTCTGCCTCTCTCTCTCTCTCTCTCTCTCTCTGTCTCTTATGAATAATTAAATAAAATCTTAAAAAAAAATCTGTTTTCTTCACTTCTGACTTTATCACCTTCTGTGCCTGAGCATAATGATCACAAGTCTCGAAAAGGAGAGAGAAATGACGAACTTGAAGGCCCTGGGGGTGTTCATTAGTCTCTTACTGGCCACAGGTGGAAATGGTAGGCCCTATCACTGTACTTCCCTGCAGTTTTCCTCTGGGCGCCACGCTGTTTTTGTTTCTGAAGGCGTCATTCATCTCGAGGCAGAGAGAATTCCCATTCTGATTTCCACCCCCACGGCCTTACTATGGTCATGGAATCCAAAGAACCCTTCCTCCAGATCCAAAGTCAATGTCCTGCTCAAAAACTTTTAGCGATGTGATGAATCATCCCCAGTGAGACTCAAAGAATACTCTGGAATTTTTGAATACATATTACATTGTATGAGTGAGGAGAAAGTCCACGCCATTCCTTTTTCAATAGTTTTCAAAGCTTTCAAAGTATACATTCGTGTGGAAAGTGATACTGGTTTGTCCAAAGGAGAAAAATGAGGTTGTGCTGGGGTTCAATTTCCCGTGGAGTAAAATAAAGAACATGAGGAGTAGCAGGTTGGGAATCTAAAGTTTGCTATGCTTGTGTGAACCATTAGGAAGAAGTCACAGGAGATTTGCTTGGGCTTTAATGAAGAAATATTTGCTGTGAAAATGATAAAAAGAAAAGAATGCAATCTATGTTTGAGTGCCTGGCTACACTTAAGGGGACCTATTTGGGGTGATTCGAAGACACAGTCAATTTAATGTACTAAAGCCATTCTATTTAAATAAGGTTTATTAAAGCTAAATCCCACACTGTTTTTCTAAAATAAAGCCATATGCCTTTTTTCCTATGGTCTGCCAATGAAGATTATACATTTCTCAGATGTCTTGGTTGTTTTCTTAAGGACACTTCTTTTTGTCAGATCAACTATTCTGTTTGCATTCTTTGCTCTAATTATTTAAAGAATCTCCAAGTTTATGGCCTTGAAGAGATGATACATTTTTAGGATATCATTCATCCTAAATTCACCCTCAACTGTCAGTTTTGGCTTTTCAGAACATTCCACTGAAGGATTACAGAAGAGGAAAATACAAATGCATGTTCTTTTCCCTTTGTAAGTTTATATTTAGAGTCAATTGAAAGAAGGCCAAAAGTTGTATTTGCAAGATAATAATGTGTAAGCAAAGATGTTAATAATTAGTGAAGAATGCATATCATAACACATAAAACAATGTCTTCCCCTTTTTAAAATACAAGGAGCGAAAAGTCTCTGGTTCATAGCTAACTTTTTATTCAACCCTTGCAAGAGGGAGTGGCACTTTTTTTTTTTTTGGCAAAAGTAGTATGATTTGTTTAAAAGCCTCAGTCAACAGGTATTTCCTGAAAATATTTTCCATAAAAAGTAGAGTATGGTTCTCCAGAATAAAAACTGATCCATTTTACCATTTTTCTTTTTCTTTTCTTTCCTTTTTGTTCCTCTTTCTTTTTTTTTTTTTTTTTTAACTTTTCAGCCAAAGGCTTCTATGATCTCGATGCCTTAAATGAAGCTGCTTGGACCAGCGCCCTGAGCCAGCTGGTTCCCTGTAATATTTGTGGGCGTACCTTCCTGCCAGACAGACTGATTGTTCACCAACGATCCTGTAAACCAAAAGCCGCCAAGTAAAGCCCTCTCCCAGCACAAGTGTCACAGGACTAAGATCCTTTTGAGCGAGATTGGGGTAATGGAGGGAAGGAGGAAGAGGGGGTAAGGAGAGGAAACAAGAAACCCTGGAAACCGCTCCAGGTTGTCTAGCGCGGGAAGCCAGCTCAGGGGTCCGCTGGCACGAGCCTGGCCATGACCGTGACGTGGTAGGCCGACGCTCTGCCTCCCCCGCAACCCCCCCCCCCCCACCCCCGAACAGCTGTGCGCATGTGCGCAGACACACGGGTAGGGGGCGGAGCGTCACACTCCGTCGGGCAGAATTACAAGTGGGTTGCACCTCCTCAGGGCTGGCATTTTTGTCCCCAGGAAATTTCAGAGCCAACTGTTGCTGTTTTTCTTCCTTTCTCTTTTCCTGAGCAAGATTTTTGGAATTTCACAATTAGGCCTATTATTATTATGGGAACAAGAGGGTTCAGGTGGCAATTTCAGGCAACTCCTTAGTCTCAAGAAAAACCGGATCCCTCCCCATCCCTGTGCTCTCTGAAATAACGTGCCACCCAGGGAAACGCTTTTGACTGAGCTATTGATTGGAAATCTTCTTTTCTCTACAAAATTATTGCACAGCAAAGACTTTCAAAAAAGAGATAAGGAGTTAAAGTGCTAGAACTGTGCCTAACTCCTACTCCCTTACCAAGAGTGGGAAATTCTACAGAGAAATTTCAGAACTGGTGCCAGCCTCATATGTCAGAAGAGTTCTACAGTGCGATTCATCACATGGGTGGAGGTTAGCTCTTTCCTTCTATAGGAGAAGTCCAGAGAGTTCTCCAGGGTCTCCGAGGGGCTGATAGGTGTTTTATTGTTGAGATCTAAAAGCCTGCCAGGAAGTCCTGTGCCTCCCCACCCATTGCCCAGGCAATGGCTTGTGAAACTGCCCTGTATTTTAGACCTTGAATGTGCATTCATAGAGGCGAGGCTCTCCTGGGAGGAGGCCAGGGTCAGGGAGGGGCTCTGCCCAGGAAATTCTGCTCCCCCGGACAGTGCTGCTTTGCCCAGACTCCCGGCAGTTTTGCTTGGGATCTTTGTTCATTTTATGGCTGAAGTTCAGAGCCATCCTGGATCCACTGGGTTGCTGCAGACCTTGAATTCATGACCTAACAGCACAGTCAGCTCCAAATTATACAAGCAGATGTGTTGGACCTAATATTTTAGTCCCACATCACTGTATTATGAGAGGCTAGTTAAGATAGTTGCACTAATCATCGTTGTTGGTTTTTTTGTCTGTTCCAAAGGAAGAAGAGATTAACTTTAAAATAGTCTTTAGCTACCCTCAAAGAACATTATCCCCTTGAGAAAGACATAACATCTCATACCGTTGATGGTTTAGTTTTTTCATTTCGCTAGCAAAGATGACAACATCTAATACCCAAGTTAGAGTAATGGGTCAGACTGTGCTTAGAGCTCTCTAGACTGCCGTGTGTATAAATCTCCCATCAGCCACAAGGAGAGGTTATCTTTATTTTACATCTGAAGAGACTGATATTTAAATAGGTAACAAGCTAACTCGAGGTCACACTGAGCTTGAGTCGAGGGACGGACTAGGGAAGCAAACTCGTGACTCGGAATCCCAAACCACCACTCGTACCCAGTGCTATCTGTATGCTACAAACAGATCTCATCTCATCATGAACTCAATGAACTATGCAAACAAAAGATCTGCCAAATGTGATTTTTTTTTTTTTTTTTTTTTTTTTATCCAGTGTTTATAACCAAGGCAAATGGGAATCTTAGTATGCTTCTAGTTTGCCTGCCGGTCAGGGTTTCTCTTACACTGAGGAGGTGAAAACCCAAGTTTGAACGGCGCTGTCTTTCAAAAGCCACTCTGCCTTCTGCTGATACTCAGCAGTCCAGCGAGGAAACACAGCAAAAATGCCGGCCTCCACTTTGAAATGGGTTGCCACTTGGGGTCCTAACAAGACATTCTGATACCCGTTCCTTGCAAAGCGTGACCCAAAAAATCCAAACCAACTACTCTGTAGACATTATTAGGTCTGTGAGTTCTGGAAGTGGGCAACGACTGGCTCTTGCAGGAATTGTCACTTCCACAGGGAGTCATGAGTCGCCTGGACATGCACCTGGACACAGGGGGAGACTCCCCCCGCCAACAGTTCCCCCTCAGCTGGCCTGCAAGTGTTCCGTGGAATTACACCCAGAGCAAGCTCAGGAGGGACGACCTCAGTCTAAGAGTTCCTGTCTCTTAGCAAAGACAAGTCGTCAGAACCTCCACATGGGCAGGAGGGAGCTCCACGGTTCTCTGCCAACGGCCCTCCTTCCAATTAACTCACTTCTGTGCCGGTATTTGTACCGCAAAAAGAAAATAATTTCTTGAACAGTAGTTGGAACCTCCGTGAGCTGTGAATTCGAACCTTGCTGTGGTCCCCGTAGATAATCTCCTGGATGATGAGGAGCAGACACTAGATGAAGGTACTCCTAGGTTTCCATTTCCACTCCCAGCTGGGCAGTTATTGGTCTGGGGTGCGTGATTTTTAGAGGCATGGGCAACGCCGCTCCGCCCTCACTGCTCTGTTAACTGGTGCTGCAAACTTCCATTAGATTCTCCTCTAGGAGAGGAGGGGGGTGGAGGGGTGGGGCAGTAAGGAGAGCACATGATGTGATAAGCACTGGGTGTGGGATGCAACTGATGAGTCACTAAACTCTACCTCTAAAATGAATAATACACTCTATGTTAATTAATGGAATTGAAAGAAAGAAAGAAGAAAGAAGAAAGAAAGAAAGAAAGAAAGAAAGAAAGAAAGAAAGAAAGAAAGAAAGAAAGAAAGAGAAAGAAAGAAAGAAAAGAAAGAAAGAAAGAAAAAGAAAGAAAAATAAAAGTTTAGGAATTGCAAAAAAAAAAAAAATCCCCTCTAGTTAAGTCTACGGGAAAGGTTCCAGGATTTCTGGATGCTCATTTGCACATTCAATTCACATCACAGTTGCAGGGGATGTCCTATCAGCAGGGAACACGGGGGACCAAACAAGCATATCCTAGCAGGGGTGTGGAGGGGACGAATCTCCCGCTGTGAGTCCGCCTGGAAATCCCGTTAAGAGCTCCATTACGGGGACTCTTCGGGCGGCCTCCTCTGAGTATTTTCTGACAGACAAGTATTTCCAACTGGGGTCTCTGGGCTGGCTCCCAGATGACACTGCTTGGGCCTGAGGAATCCTGACCTGAGACTCTTCGTGGAAAAAGAAGCAAGCTGCTATGGCTAAGGGCAGGCGGACTCATTTGTGGAGCAGGGGAGAGAGAGAGAGAGCAGATATCCAGTGCCTTCTACCTACTGAAAACAGCCCTGGGTCTTTCTGTATTTGTCTCCTTCTGACATTAGTAGCATTTCTTCTTCACACTCCGGCCTGAACCAGCCTGTGTGGCTTTAATCCTGTATCAAGTCAGGGCTGGAAGTTCAGCGCCTTTCCTTCCCCCATCCTGAAGTGATGGTCCACCTTCCTTTATCATTTATTACTTTCCTGGTGACCCACCATCCAGCCCACATGAAATGGTGCTCCTGTCTGGCTCATGCTGCCCAATCTCTGTGAGCACTGTGATCAGAGATGAGACGTGAGGTTTTCCTGCATTTGAAGGAAACAGACTCCTTGGGGAAGGAGTCAGGTTTCCAGTGGGGGCCAAACCGGGAGGTGTAGAGAGAATATATACCAGGAAAAACACTTATCGTAAGATGATACACCTTAGTTCTGCTTACGTTTTTTTAATAAAAATATTTAAATAAACACAACTCATAGAAAAAGTATAGTGAAGTCTCATGTTCTCTACACCCAGGTAAACTCTCTTCTTGACATCCCACTGGGGTCGAACTGGAATGGTTTAAATTTTAGCTCCTAATTTTTGGGGCAAAAGAGGAAAATGGAATGGCAGAGATTGCTGTTGAGAGCATAGGATTCCACGGTACGTCTGATAACGCCCTTCAGCTATATTTATGGGAACATGAGATCAAGCCAGCAACGGATATCAGCTTCAACTTCAGATGTGATTAAAAAAAAAAAAAAAAGTGAAACCTGACCTAGGCATTATGGAGCCAGGTCCTATCACTGAAACACATTGATCACTTACAGGCCAAGGGTTTTAAGGTGACTCTTAGTTGAGAGTGTGCTAGGCAAAACAACAGCCCCCCAACATTGTGGATGCCCAGTCCCCAAACCTTCTGAAAATGTTACCTTACAGGGGACAAGAGACTTCGAAGATGGGATTAAGGTTGTAGAACTTGAGGGGGGGGAGATGATCTCACATTATCTGGGGGAGCCCCAATCTGAACTGCATGAGTCCTGAAAAGTGGAATAAGAAGGGAAAGGGGGGTAGTCAGAGAGACGGCAGCATAAGAAGGATCTATCACCCTGTTGCCAGCGGAGATGTAGGCAACTCTGTGTAAGGACCAGAGAGATGCCTGCAGGGGCTAAGCGTGGCCCCAACTGACAGCCAGCAAGGAAACTGGAACCTCCGTCCTCTAACCACACGTGCCTGGACTTTGCCACTGACCTCAATGAGCAGGGAAACGGATTCTCCCCTGGAGCCTCCAGGAAGAAACGCCGCCCTGCCCACCATTCATTTTTATCTGGTGAATCCAGGGTTGAACTCCTGACCTACAGAGCTGTAAGAAAATAAATGTGCATTGCTCAAGCCAGTAAGTTTTCAGTGATTTATTTTGGCAGCCATAGACGACGAATAGAAGCATCTAGGTGGCGTAGGGTAGGACCAATGTAACTATGGACCAGAGCTACAGCAATCACATCCGTGAGGGAAGCCGGCCACCTCCACGGCCGGCCTCAAGGAAATGAGAACACAACCGAATTTGGTTGGGGCAGATTGCCCAAGGAAACAGGCTCCAGGATTTGCCACCCCTGAATACACAGCTATTTTGAAACATGTCACCTTCTGGATGCAAATTTTTAATGTTCTGTTTCATCACTGTTAATCTTAATGTCCTGTTAATATTTTTAACCACAAAACCGATTGTCATGTGCCCACAGTT